AGATATAGGTCTTCTGTATACTTTTGGAGATGGCCGATATGGAAAATTAGGACTTGGGATGAACAATTTTACCAATCATTTCGCTCCTACTTTGTGCTCTAAATTTTTGAAATTTATGGTTGAATCGGTAAGGGTATCACATTTCCTTCTTTACATTTTCATATTCCTTTATTTGAGCCTTTGAATATTTCATAGAAAATAAGCACTTTTATGTTTATATGAAAGAATATTATGGCTATATCTAATAAAAACACTCGTTTCCTAAAAGCCAAATGCCAGACGTCATGTCACTCTGAAAATTTGTCCCTTTCCTAATTTTCCTCCTTTGACATCTTCCTTCTTGCCCTAATCTTGACTCTTCTACTTCACTCTCATAATGTCTCCTGAGGGCCAAGACTGTGCCATGCCTGAAAGCTCTGTGACTCCTGCAGCACCCAGCAGAGTGCCTTATTCACAGTAGTCATCTGTAAATATCTGCTGAATTAGATAGTACTGAGACTCTCAAATCCTGCACAAGAGAAAATCTGCTAATTCATGAAGAGTTTTTTCCAAAACTGTTGTTTTATTGTCTAAATGTTATTTGGATAAGAAGGTGTTTCAGTGTCATCCTCAGCAGGCATTATGTCTATTGTTTCTAACACTTTTGCCAGTTAAGAACTATAGACTTGAAAATATCTTTGGTGATGATTATATCACTTGGAATTTGCTCTCCAAAAACTCAGTGTGTCATGCTATAGAACATTTCCATTCCTTGATATGATGCCCACTTAACGCCTGCTCTATATGAGATTTGGACTGAGTATGAGGCATACAGTGATGAACAAGATAACCAAATCCTCACTCGCTGAACTTACAGTCTTATAAGGAAGACCATTTTTTTAAAGTGCTATACAAAAATATATAAATTTTAACTTTGAAAATATTATAAAGGAAAGGTTCAGAGTATGCTATTCTTATGCCACGCTGTACAACACTATAAACTTTCTTTAAAAACAAATCTGTATATTGCAAATACTACACAATGTTTTTTAAACACTTCATTGAAAATCAGTTATTTCTCAAAATCCGTTGATATCATTTTTCATTGTTCCATCATTGTGCATGTTTGCATTTTGCTCTAAGGACTTTTAAGCATTAAACTTAAAAAACGTTCGTGAAAAGAAAAAGGCTTGGAGACATAATTAGTCCAAGAGAATGATTGGATCACTTTTTTCCATGTAGAACTTCTCTGAGTAATTTTTTTCAAGTTGTTAATGTTGTTCTCAGATTAACATTTTGTAACTTGTAAGGAGGACTGTAAAGTGCCAAATAGTTTTTTTCTCTATATTATATCAAATTGAAAGTAAAATAGTGTGTTAAACTTGTTCTAGTTTTCAATTATAGTGTTTAAAGAATATATAGCTGACTCTTGAACACTGTGAGGGTTAGGGCTGCTGACCCCCCACATACCCCCAACTATGTCATCCCTCGATATCCATGGGGGATTGGCTCCAGGACCCATCACAGATACCAAAATTCATGAGTGCTCAAGCCTCTTATATAAAATGGTGTAGAATAGTGCAAACAGTTGGCCCTCTACATCCATGGATTCCTAACTGTAGATTGGAAATACTGTTTTAAATCCATAGTTGGTTGAAGCCATGGATGCGAAATATGGGGATATGGAGGGCTGACTGTCTATTTATTGAAAAAAACCTGCATATAAGTGGACCTGTGTAGTTCAAACCCATGTTGTTGAAGAGTCAACTGTATATTGTAATTCGTGTGTGTGTGGGGGGGGTGGAGAGAGAGAGAGAGAGAGAGAGAGAGAGAGAGTCATTCAGTGTGGTAAGTCTACCACTAAGTAAATGTTTTGTAGCTGAAAACTGTTAAAAACCCATTTGTATTTGAAGCCAATGTGAATTAATATATCTGTGGATTTATGCTGCAGGTTGCCTGTGGTGGATGTCACATGCTAGTTTTTGCTTCTCCACGAGTTGATATAATAGAAGTTGATATTCATGAAATGTACGATTGTTGCATATCTCCGTTTACTTCTCTGCCTGTTAGCAATCTGACCTCAGGAAAAGTACTTCAGAGAACTTTATCAGCACGTGTGCGGCGAAGAGAGAGGGTATGGTTGTGGCCTATTCCATATAATAGTATTGTCTCGCACTGCAAAGAAAACTAGAAGACAAAAACCCGTTTTCTTGGTGGGAAAAACAAAACAAAAAAAAACCGTTTTCTTTTTAAATTAAAGAAGGGTCTTGTTAGATAAAGTTACTAAATAAAATGATTAGAGTCAAGGACTTACAAACTTTTAAAGGAAACTCAGAGTTAAACTGTTGAACACATGAAGTAGAAAATTCAAATTATCATGGATAATCTTGGCTTATAGACAGCAATACTGTTCACTGTCTTATCAACTCATTTTGAATGCTGGGTTTTCTCAGCTTTATGTGGAATGACTTCTACCTTGCTTTTATCTTTAGTTATACCCCATGACCAGTGGAAGGTTATACCCTGTAAACAATGAAACTTAGAAAAGAAAGGAATAAGCACTTCAGTTTGAGAGAGGGAATGTTTTTCCTCAATTCAGATTCTTATTTAGAGATTTAATTTAGATTCAATTTATCTATTTTTCATTTTGATAAATCAAAATTTATCAATTTTGAGAGATTCAATCTCTCAAAAAGATTCAATTTAGAGATTCTTATTGTGTACTGTGAAATTATTTCAATGCTACTTATACATTTTAAAAATAAAATGCCAAATAATTTTAAGGGAGCCATTCCTTTTTTTAAAAAGTACTTTAAGTTTCAAAACATACTCCTTTTGAGGTAAAAGGTTAAGTTTGGCTTTTCATTATGAAAAAGTATCTATGGAAAGTTTGAGAAATTTCCCATAAGTATTTTGTAGTTGTTGTTTGTTTTTATGTCTCATGAGTAATTTTTTTTAAAGATTTTTTTTATTGGGGAATTGGGGGGATGGGAACAGTGCTGGGGAATTAGGGGAAGGGGAACAGACAAGTTGCTGTCCTTTTNTGCTCAGCTCGGGCTGGCATCGAACCGCTGTTGCTCAGAGCTCAAACTCTTGAGCGAGCTCTTAACCAACTGAGCCACTCGGCCGGCCCTTGGAACCTTTTAATAATTGTATCAATTTGAAGGCTCTTAACTCCGCTGAGGCCAGAGGGAAAAATCTTACAAGAAATAAGTTATTTTAAAACCTTTTCCCTGTTAGATCTGACAGAGCTGCATTCAGGCTGAATAAATTCTTATGATGCTTTTGCCACTAGGAGGCGTTTTCAGGACTGATTTTCCAGCTTTCTCCACAGTGATAGAAAGATATCTCAAAGATCGCTAAGTGAATACCTGGGTCCTTCAGACCGTCCACTCTGTAGTTTCTCCTTTATCCAGGGAGATGCTGCATTGGGCTGACTTCTCAACCTGAGAAACTAGGTGCTGCTAATGCAGGACTCAATGAAGGTCCTTCTCTAAAATGACTGACTCAGTTACTTGTAGGTAATTGACATACTCCTCAATTTTAATTGCTTTGGAACAGAAGGCTCTGTAATTTCACTATTTTTAGCTCACATTTATGACTAAAATGAATTAAAGCTTTATTTTTTAAAAGTTAAAAATCGTATAGTATTTTAGAATAATCTAGATCCTGGTATTTCTACATTTTCCTCCTCCTTTTAAAAAAGCTACTGCTACAGTGGAGCTCATTTAAAGGTATCTGTTTAGGGGAAATAAGAGTCAGCAAATACAGAGTACTAGTATACATTGTCCATTCTTCTCCAAGAACCTTTCAGAGAGACCTACCGGCCCATTTTCAAGTACCGATGTATTTGTTAATGTTGCATGAAATAGAACTATATGCAATGTAAAGAATTATTCATTCATACTCCCAGAAGAGTTGCTGATATGTACACCTTACTGCAGGATCTTAATCTCAGTTTCTCTGCCCTTACTGCCATTTTTCATTGTCTGTAAATTGCCATTGATGGTAAATACATACTTTTTATGCATCATCTAACATACAATGAGATTATTTGGTTAAACTTTCTAATACCTCTCCTCCTGATGAAAGAAGTTATAGCACAAATAATTGAACATTAGCTTTGCTTGCCTTTTTGCTCATGAAGCCTCCCCAGGGGACAGGTGGTAGGAATATTTTTTTCTCCAGGACTAATGAGAGGTATGTAGTGAGTTATCTAAGCTCTTGCCAGTTCCCCTATGATAGCCAGTGGCTCATGTTTTAAAAATCTCTCTGAGGTTGAAGTGCAATCAGGAAGCTCCAACTAGAGTTTATTTTTTTTGGCTGAAGATAATCAAACTAAAAAGACAAACCTTAAGGGCTGGCTGAGTGGCACGATGGTTAAGAGCTGGCTCGGAACACCAGAGGGCCCCGGTTCAGATCCCACCTATGAGGGCCAGTGACACTGTCCTCTACAGCTAAGATGCTGAACAACAGCTCAACCTGGAGTCAGCGGTGACGGCGTAGGCTGCAGCCCCTGCTGCAATGGGCTGCCATGGGCTACCGTGTGTAGCCAGCAGCCAGCGTGAACGGCCGTCCAGAAGCCAGCGACTGATCTGCCTCGCCTGGGAAGAGCGCAATGATGGTGACAACTTGGGCCAGTGAATCAACGTCCTCCACAACTAGACTGAAGAACAAAAGGATAGCAACTTGTCTGTTCCTCTTTCCCCAATTCCCCAGCACTGTTCCCATCCCCCCAATTCCCTAATAAAAATCTTTAAAAATAAATAAATAAAAAGGCAAACCTTAAAAAGCATTTTGGATAAATCAGGGTCAAGAGAAGGAGGAGGAAGGCAAAAAGATTATAAGAAGTATACATGAAGAATGGAAATAAATGTCTAATAGTAAAAATTATAAGAGTCTAAATTTAGAGTCTAAACACTGGTCATTGCTAATTTGTGTAGAATCCATTTTTGTATATTAATTTTTGAACTTGTCACTTAAGTGAATTATGTTATTATCTGTAATCATTTTTCAGTCCTCATGGATTTTCTTAGTATGCAATTACTTTGTCATCTTAAGCTAGAAGTCCCCAAATGTGATCTTATTACTTCCCAGTTTGAAACAATTCTTTTAGCTTATTATTTCCCTTAGGATAGAGTTCAGAAATTCTTAATATGAACTAAAAAATCTTCTGTGTTGTGGTTCCTTCTTACCTCTTCAGATTCATCTCATACCACTCGCTCCTTTGTGCTACAGGCACATTGGTTGCCCTTCAGCTTCTTAACTATGCTATGGTTTCTCTTGATTCAGAGCCTTTGTATGTACTGCTGACACTGCCTAGAAGATTCTTTGCTCCCTTCTTCTTGCAGCTAAACTCTATTCATCCTTTACGCTCCAGTTTGAAAGCCTTCCCTCATCCCTGGAGGGCCAGCCCCCTCCTCTGCACCCATACTGGCACCTTTCCCTTTATTTTGCTTCCATGGCACTTATCCCACATGAGCTGGAAGGTATGAAGGAAGGGCTTGAGGAGTGAAGGTTCAGAATAGCCACTATTGCAGTGGGGCAAAAGGGGTAAACTGGAGAGAAGCAACAAAATTACTCATTATTGTGGGCCCAGCTATTTAGAGGATCCCAGGTATTGGTATAGGGACTAGCCCGCATGGTTGTTTTATGGGCATTTCTGCCAGCAGAGTTCTACAGCCAGGAGCAGAACTAGTAAAAAAACAGGTGGATTTATCTAACCCAGTAGTTTTTCACCAGTGATGATTTTCCCCCCCAGGGGGTACATGGCAATGTCTGGAGACATTTTTGATTGTCATAACTGCAGAGGCTTGGTATTCTATGGGCAATTAGTAAGTACAGGCCAAGGATGCTGCTAAACATCCTACAATGTGCAGCACAAACCCATACAACCAAGAATTATCCGTCCCCAAATGTCAGTAGTACCAAGGTTGAGAAACCCTGATCTAATCAATGAAATGCAAAAAGAAAATAGATTGGTCTGGGATGTAGGGAGACAAAAAACAAAAATCTCTTTCCCTTAAGAAGATAGTGTGTTTCATGAGATCTCAGGCTGGATTGCTACTGCTCCACACAAGGCCTTGCACAACTGGGTTTCAACTTCACAAATCACTAAGGGCTTAGGGATTTATTCTCACAGTATCTATTCTCTAATGTTATGTGTGGGATCACAGAGACCATAGAGAATATGGAAACATCAGTGGATCAGGGTAATTTCAGTGCAGAATTTGAGGAGAATTTTACAATTGCAATGTAAGTTAATATATTTCTTTATTTACAAATAGATTCATACAAATAACACTTTTATAATTTTCTCTTTTTTGGTATTTTAGATATAGGTCTTCTGTATACTTTTGGAGATGGCCGATATGGAAAATTAGGACTTGGGATGAACAATTTTACCAATCATTTCGCTCCTACTTTGTGCTCTAAATTTTTGAAATTTATGGTTGAATCGGTAAGGGTATCACATTTCCTTCTTTACATTTTCATATTCCTTTATTTGAGCCTTTGAATATTTCATAGAAAATAAGCACTTTTATGTTTATATGAAAGAATATTATGGCTATATCTAATAAAAACACTCGTTTCCTAAAAGCCAAATGCCAGACGTCATGTCACTCTGAAAATTTGTCCCTTTCCTAATTTTCCTCCTTTGACATCTTCCTTCTTGCCCTAATCTTGACTCTTCTACTTCACTCTCATAATGTCTCCTGAGGGCCAAGACTGTGCCATGCCTGAAAGCTCTGTGACTCCTGCAGCACCCAGCAGAGTGCCTTATTCACAGTAGTCATCTGTAAATATCTGCTGAATTAGATAGTACTGAGACTCTCAAATCCTGCACAAGAGAAAATCTGCTAATTCATGAAGAGTTTTTTCCAAAACTGTTGTTTTATTGTCTAAATGTTATTTGGATAAGAAGGTGTTTCAGTGTCATCCTCAGCAGGCATTATGTCTATTGTTTCTAACACTTTTGCCAGTTAAGAACTATAGACTTGAAAATATCTTTGGTGATGATTATATCACTTGGAATTTGCTCTCCAAAAACTCAGTGTGTCATGCTATAGAACATTTCCATTCCTTGATATGATGCCCACTTAACGCCTGCTCTATATGAGATTTGGACTGAGTATGAGGCATACAGTGATGAACAAGATAACCAAATCCTCACTCGCTGAACTTACAGTCTTATAAGGAAGACCATTTTTTTAAAGTGCTATACAAAAATATATAAATTTTAACTTTGAAAATATTATAAAGGAAAGGTTCAGAGTATGCTATTCTTATGCCACGCTGTACAACACTATAAACTTTCTTTAAAAACAAATCTGTATATTGCAAATACTACACAATGTTTTTTAAACACTTCATTGAAAATCAGTTATTTCTCAAAATCCGTTGATATCATTTTTCATTGTTCCATCATTGTGCATGTTTGCATTTTGCTCTAAGGACTTTTAAGCATTAAACTTAAAAAACGTTCGTGAAAAGAAAAAGGCTTGGAGACATAATTAGTCCAAGAGAATGATTGGATCACTTTTTTCCATGTAGAACTTCTCTGAGTAATTTTTTTCAAGTTGTTAATGTTGTTCTCAGATTAACATTTTGTAACTTGTAAGGAGGACTGTAAAGTGCCAAATAGTTTTTTTCTCTATATTATATCAAATTGAAAGTAAAATAGTGTGTTAAACTTGTTCTAGTTTTCAATTATAGTGTTTAAAGAATATATAGCTGACTCTTGAACACTGTGAGGGTTAGGGCTGCTGACCCCCCACATACCCCCAACTATGTCATCCCTCGATATCCATGGGGGATTGGCTCCAGGACCCATCACAGATACCAAAATTCATGAGTGCTCAAGCCTCTTATATAAAATGGTGTAGAATAGTGCAAACAGTTGGCCCTCTACATCCATGGATTCCTAACTGTAGATTGGAAATACTGTTTTAAATCCATAGTTGGTTGAAGCCATGGATGCGAAATATGGGGATATGGAGGGCTGACTGTCTATTTATTGAAAAAAACCTGCATATAAGTGGACCTGTGTAGTTCAAACCCATGTTGTTGAAGAGTCAACTGTATATTGTAATTCGTGTGTGTGTGGGGGGGGTGGAGAGAGAGAGAGAGAGAGAGAGAGAGAGAGAGTCATTCAGTGTGGTAAGTCTACCACTAAGTAAATGTTTTGTAGCTGAAAACTGTTAAAAACCCATTTGTATTTGAAGCCAATGTGAATTAATATATCTGTGGATTTATGCTGCAGGTTGCCTGTGGTGGATGTCACATGCTAGTTTTTGCTTCTCCACGAGTTGATATAATAGAAGTTGATATTCATGAAATGTACGATTGTTGCATA